TGGAAACCCACTTGTTCTGGGGCTCGAGGGCGATACGGGCACCGTTGGCACCACCACGCTTGTCGGAGTGACGGAAGGTCGAGGCGGAGGCCCAGGCGACGGAGGCGAGCTTGGAGACGTCGAGACCGGCGGTGCCAAGAATGTCAGACTTGAGCTTGGTCACGTCAGCATCGTCAATGAGCTCACCTTCCCTAGCGGGAAGGGGATCCTGCCAGCCGAAAGTCTCCTTGGGGATCTCAGGACCGAGGTAGCGGGCGACGGGACCCAAGTCACGGTGGAGAAGCTTGAACCAAGCCTTGGCGAAGGCGTCGGCGAGCTCCTGGGGGTGGTCGAGCCAGCGGGTGGTGATGTTGAGGTAGGACGGGTCGTTGATGAGAGCCAAGTCACTGGTGAGCATGGTGGCCTTGCGGAACTTGGTGCTGTCAAAGGGGTCGGGGTAGTCGAGGGTGCCGTTGACAGCCTCCCACTGGTGAGCGCCAGCAGGGCTGGTGACGAGGGTCCATTTGTTGTGAATGAGAGACTCCAAGTAGCCGTTGCTCCATCTGCAGGTACAAGGATTAGCGTCGGTGTGTCACTGCATAATCACCCGGTGTGGTTGGTGTATAAATAGCTTTTCTTGGCCTCATCGTTTGTCGCCTCATCATTTCTCCCATGACCTTCTCTTTCTCTCAAAGGCGAGTATTCGGCAAATGAGAGATACAAGACCTCTCAAGAGTGAGTGAGAAGGGGGGAATGGGAGTGACTGGAGTGCCAAGACCCTGAGGGGCGCAAATCATATGCAAACGGAAAAAGACTCATCACAATCATGACTTACTTGGTAGGGGTCTTGGTCCAGACAACCTCAAGACCACTGGTCATCTGGTTGACACCGTTGCCATCGCCAACGCTGTTGTGCCATCCGAGACCCATCTCGCCAAGGTCAGCGGCCTCGGGCTCGCCTCCAATGTTGCCTGTGAGAGACGCCGGTCAGCATTTGCATGTTCCAAAAGTGGCGGTGAAAATCGTGTGTTCCCGGGGGTGAGCCGGAGCTCTCTCCGAAGACGCTCTATTATTGCGCGTTCGTCCGACTAGCACCGAAATGGTGAAGAGGGGACGCGTGAATGAGGTGCAACTCACTTGCAGGCACAGCACCGTGCGTCTTGCCGAAGGCGTGTCCACCGGCGATCAAAGCGACAGTCTCCTCATCGTTCATTCCCATGCGATCGAAAGCGACGCGGATGTCCTTGGCCGAAGCGGCGGGGTCGGAGCTGGCATCGGGGCCCTCCGGGTTGACGTAGATGAGACCCATGTGGGTAGCACCCAGGGGCTTCTCAAGCTTGTCGGCGCGCTCGTTGATGTCGGTGCTGCCATTGTAGCGGACATCGTTGCCCTTGGGGACGAAAGTCGTCTCTCCACCCCAGTAGACGGACTCATCGGATTGCCAGGTATCGGGACGGCCAGCGGCGAAGCCAAGGGGGGTGAAGCCCATGGACTCGAGGGCGACGTTGCCGGTGAGCAAGTACAAGTCGGCCCATGAGATCTTGTTGCCGTACTTTTGCTTGATAGGCCCTGTAAAACATGGAAGAGGTAGGATTAGCAAACGTTTCTTCTCTCTCTCTATCTCTCAAGAGCCCCACAACATCGCTCTACGTAGTACTCGCGCCATCGAGCCACGGCAAAGTGGATATCGCTACCGAGTCGATGATGCAAGTCGAACATGGGTGGGCCGAATCACAAAAGAGCGCATAAGGATGGGAAATCTTACACAGCAGGCGGCGAGCCTTGTCGAGGTTCTGGTTGTCAGGCCAGCTGTTAAGCGGAGCGAAACGTTGTTGGCCCTGCAGCAGTCCAATATTAGTAAACGCCAGTCCTCAAGAAGAATCAAACTGATGCAGAGATGTGATAAGATGCAAACAGCCCAGGTCCATATTTCGTGACGCGGTGCGAGTGGAGAAAAAGCCGACGGAGATGCTTTAGCACCTCTTGGCTTTGATCCGGGATAGGACAAAAACCTCCGTCTAACCAATTGATCTTCCAATGCGAGACGAATAGGACCGCGAAGAGATGATCAAGTGCAACGGTAGGCAAGGAATAAGAAATATGCTAAAATGGAGGGGGGGGTTACAGCGCGGTGTTTCTTCCAGCTACCTCGTGCCAAGTGGGAAAGCACTAGGAAGACCGGGAGAGCGGGGGGGAGGAGGGAAGGACTTTCGGGATAGCATAGCCAAAGAGAAGAGAGTAAAACATAAGCCAAGAGGTGCAGTGAAGAAAAAACGGCTCACCATTCCACCGCCACCTCGGCCGTCAATGGCGCGATAAGTGCCGGCGCTATGCCAGGCCATGCGGATGAAGAGACCGCCATAGTGGCCAAAGTCGGCGGGCCACCATTCCTGGGACTCCGTCATCAGGGTGTGGAGGTCCTTCTTCAGAGCCTCATCTGTCGTGGGGTGTTAGTGAGGATCCTCCCACACATCGTTTATTCTTCCCCCTCCCAATAGAATCTACTCACAATCCAAAGAGTTGAAAGCCGCAGTGTAATCGAAATCGCCTCCATACGGGTTGGTCGCGGGTTGGAATTGGCGAAGAGTATCGAGTCTAAGCTGGCAAGGCCACCAGTCGTGGCTGCGGGTGCCGCCGCCAGCCTGGTTGCTGATTCTCGAGCATCGGCCGAAGCCCTCGGCCGTGTCCCTCTTGGGGAGCTCGCTGGTGACGGAACCATCGCGTTTGGCGAAAGGGCAACCCTCAGCCGTGACGGCGGGCAGGAGAGCAGAAGCTGCCAAAAGGCAGCTTGAAAGTTTGGCGTGCATGTTGACAAGACAGGTTGATCCAGAGGACGTTCAAAGAAGGAATGACTAGGTGAGAGTGAGACCGGGGGGTAGCAGACTCAACGGGTGAGAGATGAGTGTGTTCCTGAAGAAGAGGAAACAGATCTTTATTCCAAGATGGGACGAACCCCAGGACATAAGTAATAAACTGTGACGACCTACGACTCACGAGCAATGACACGGTTTCTGGGCAGGTACCACGAGCCACGATGGAGCATCTCCATGTGGGAATAATTTGATTCCAGAACTCCATGATTAGTAACAATACCAAGACCTGCGAAGGCCGCTTCCAAGCCCGGCGTCTCCAATGCTGCGCAAGGCATCGCTGACGGGGGCCTTGGTAATAAGCTTCCTACAACGGCAGTCGAGTCGGTATTGCGCACTAAGATGCCCCATGGCAAGGTTTGCGATCCAGAATAAGCGCCTGGAATAACAATCTTGTTTGATTAGGATGGGCGTGAACATACGCAGATTGGCAGATGGCTCTTTGGTGTGGTCTGGTCCGCTTTTCACACTTTTGGGCGGGGATTGTGTCCTAAGCGATGTCCATATGGGTGAAACTTACGGCAACTTGTATGGAGAAGACATGGGGCCCAAGGAGGAGAACACACCAGGATGGAGTTGGCGTGGCCGGGATCATGAGTTCAGATGTTGATCCATAGCCAGGCATAAGCTAGGGAATCCGGGGAGCTGACGAGCTGTGCTCCCTGCTCCGATGGTCAACAGTCAACAGTATGATGCGGGCCGGTGCCAAGTTACTGGGTGACTGGAAGAGTAAGGTAGTATTTCTGTAAAGCCTGCAATAATTCACACCAACCGCGACCAATTGTGCGATGACAGTTTCCAAGCTGCGGGAGCCACTTTTGAATCTAATAGACTTCGCCCCCTAAACTCCGAAGAGCAACAAATCGGATCATATCAACCCGCCCTCTCCCTGCTATATCCTGCTGTACCCTGTCTGTAAACACCACTTAGAAGTTAGGACTGCATATACACTTAGCATGTACGGAGCTGCCCGCGCGCAACGGGCTAATTGATGCCTCCGTCATTCATCTGGCTTCTGCGGACTTGCGACTTTGTTCCTAGCGAAGCTCCTAGAGAGTCTCGAGAATCCATGTCCCAGCAAAACCCCCCGAATGCAATGCCGGGTGGGAGACTAGACAACCTAGCTGTAGACAACCTGCCATTACAGGTCTAGACTCTAAAGAGTCGCACAAGGTTTTGGCCCAAATCGCGACCACCCAACATGGGATGAAGGAAGCTTCTCATCAATCGTGCATTGACTCAGCCCTACCTCCCTCTGGCGGCGGGCAAGTGTTTGGGTGTGGAAAGAAGCAAAAGCAAGCCTCTGGAGGGGAGGATCTGGAACCCGAACGCCTCCCCCCTCCTAGACGACCCTCCTCGACGATCCATCCCCGCGCGCCGGCCGGCCGTTGATGGCGGCCTTCAACGGCCTCGACTGGAACGCACGGCACAGAAACACTCGGAACCACAGTCCACAGACACACTGCAAGGTGACACCACCCACACAGACATGCGGGCGGGATGGGATGCAGCCAGGCGGCGTGGTAGATCAGCACGCCAGCTGCAAGCACGAAAGAAACCCTCGACAGGCCGGGCCAACCCAGCCAGCACCACCATCCTGAACAGGAAGGCTAGATTTGAGGTACGCGAGTATTCGTGCATGCACCTTACAGTAAAAGAGCTGTCGGCCGAAAATCCTGCGACCCCGGCTGTGCCCGTGCCAAAAGATTGCCCCCGAGTAATACTGTATAGCCACATCAGTCACCCCGTCCACCTGTTCTGCCAAGATGCTTGGCGAGGTGGCTTCTCATCACATGCAGAGTCCCCTTGGGCCTTGGACACGCAACACCATTCCCTTGGCTTGGAACTGCGAACCCGGAGGCCCTTGGGAGTTTGCTGGGGTAAGCCGCACTGGGAAGCACGGCGACAGCAGAGGTAGAATCTGACGCTGGGAGTGGCTGAGATGAGAATGAGATTGCCGCCCTGTCAACTACCGTAGCGTGCAACTCTCTGAATCACGTTTATCCCTGTACACTGGTTTTGCTACTCGGCCGACACCCACTTGCCGACGGGTCATGAGCCTGTACTAGAAATGTGTCGAACCACATTGGCTGGGCACTGCACACTTAGTTGCCGGAAACATTACCCTCTTTCGTCTCTGCCGTACCAAATATGCGTCCGCGGTGTCCGTGGCATGCTATAATCTTTCTCCTCCACAGACCACTGTCCATGTCCACCCCAGCACGTGCACGACCAGCTATAGTTACCTATACGAAGGATGCAGTATTGAGGGGGCACGGAAAGTTTACTTTTGCGATATCATCTCGGGGAACGCCACACAGCATAGGGGGAGGGGAGCATGGGCAATTCAAGAACTGGGAGATTTGTTTTTCGGGGTTCATCTCACACCCTTCCACGCGCGCAAACTTACCAATGATGAATCATATCGCTTTTCCCCCTCCCACTATACCAAAAGTAAACTTGGAAACCTTGATCGACTCGGCTGCACCCTATTGTGATTATAAACTGCCTCAATTCTATAGGACGCCGGTCAAAGCCGTCAAGGATCACAGTGACAATAGACACGTTCTTCACTCCGTTCAACTTACCATTGTCTTCAATTGACTTTGCTCTAGGATGCCGAGGCGGACGACATTTCCATTTGGGAAGGACAAGCAAATGCAACCCGTGATCCATGTGATCAATTCTGCCAGCTTCCCTTGGAGTTGCATGCAAAGTCAAAAGTTTCCCAACTCACAGACCTGAGCTACTAAGTCAATTTTCATCGGACTTAATACTACTCAATATTATTCGTCTTCGGCGATGAACCAACTTCAAGGGTCAGCATGGATCATCATAGAAGTTTACTATTTGGCATCCAACTACCTCACTGCCGAGTTCATGCAACATGATTTCGTAGTCACGAGTGAGATCCAACAATGTTTGTAAGCTCAAGGAAGTGTAAGTGAACCGATTCCCGCTCAGGAAGCTATGCCCGTCTCGGCTTCTGATCATGGGCTTGTATCGGATTCAAATGGCATTGGCTTCGCCAGGGAAACTCCGTCGCGGACATGTCTACATCCGAGAGCAATTGACTAGATGTTCTTCAAGTCGTGAACACTTGTGTCCCATATCGAGCGAGCCCTTACTAACATTCGTTGTAATTGTACTCCAAAGTCAGAAACCAAGAAGATTACCGCCTTGTCTGGAAATTGTAAGACAAGACGTACAAATCAGATGCCCACGTTCCTCTGCCAGTACAGACGAAGATGAAAATAGCTCACAGCACCAAGATACTCAAAGAAAGCAGACATGTCGTCGACCTGATGTCGCAACTCAAACCAACGACGCGATGCGGACTAGGTTGAGCTGTGCATGCCAAGCTTGAGGGCCCAACTCCATCACACTGCATAAGCGGGTGATGCTCTCTTCTATTTTCAGCTACCAATAAAGGAGGCTCGGTTCGTCAGCGCTCCTTGGTCTAGTCGGTATTACATTCTTTGAAAGTGAGAAGTGGCGCGATACTCGCTTTAGACTCATCCCGAACAACGATGTGCATCAATAAACTAGACCTCTTGTGAAGATACGGACAGACGTTCCCTGTGCAACGATACAGAATGGCCTGCAAGTGAGAGTTTCTGTGATGCTACCCTTACCCCGAGGCGCAGCAGTAAGCTGTCAGCACACAAAGGATTGCGGGGCTTGGAATCGATCCGAGTAGCTGTCACCAAGGCACATAAGCATGCCAAGTAAACTAACCGCTCGGTCAGACAACGGTGAGTTCAGCTTGACGACCTGGAGAAGTCGGTAAGTATGAGCCTGCCCGGTATCCCACCAACTCCGGTCCCATGAATCCAGTATACTGCCAATATCCCACGTGTCCCTCCACATGACCCGGCGCCGCGGGCCCGACCTTTGACAGAGTCCGTGTCCGTCCGTTAAGGGGGCCCCGCCCGGCCCGGCGCGCTTGGCAGGCCCGAAAGGGACCCCCGAGTCATACGCCAAGTCTATCCCACTGGGAAGCCGGTCGAAATAGCCCCTTAAACAATGCTTGATAAGTTCACGGGCACTGTTTTCATGTTTTCTGGATTGATATAGAAACCCGCTTGTTTCATCCGAATTGGAAAGCAGTGCAATCATTGCGAAACTTGGAACGGACATGGGATGACTCGGGTATCCTTGGCTAATCTCAGGGGTAAGAAAATAGAATCCAGATTTCAGATTGCCGGATCGATCCATCTTTCTATAGCCCGTAGCAAAAATGATTTGTTGTCTTGTTCGCCAAGAAGAACGTGATTCTGCAAATTGCCTATTATAGGCCTGCTAGCGACCTGCAAAGAGCTTCACGGTGAACGATTTGTTTCTGATTGAATCACCTATGACTATTGCCGTAGCACCAAGCTGCATCACTTTGACTGGGCCCCTGAGCGCAAGCCTCGTTCAAGGCCGTCAATGAGCCTCCTGGCAATGCGCGCGGGCTCCCCTGATCGACCCCTTTCCGTCTCTTCCTCGAAGCTGCATCGCTCCGTCCACCAGTCTAGCCACGTCTCGGCCCGCGCACCCTCGTCTGCCCGAAGAAGCCCTACGCTGACGTCGATGACATCTGGTCGCCAACTGTCGCGCCAGAATATCGTTGCACCGCAGTTACCACAGAATTCACGAAAGACACCAGGTGAGGATTCGTATGTCTTCACGACCCCGGCGGGCAAGTCTGCGAAGTTGAGAGGGAGGATTCCGGACTGGCCGTCGTCTGGTCCGGGGATGTGAAAGAAGATGTTGCATCGGGGGACGAATGCCCAGGTCTGAACCTCAAATCCGGAGATGAGGCGGCAAGACCGGCAAGCACAGGTTCCAGCCAAGTACTTTGTGCCGTTGCTTCGAATCCACCACTTGACGGTGTCGGGGTTCTTCATAAACTCGGCGGAATGTTCGACTTGAGCATATTGTAGGTCGGGGAAGCCGGAGTGCGGTAGATAGCTTTCTTCGGTTGGCCGTGTGATGTGGTAGCTCACCCTGCCACAGGCGCATGAGGCGTGCAGAGAGTCTTTTGAACAGCCAGCTGGCGTGGGAGGAAGCTTCGTCGTGGACTGTGATGATGGAGTGACCGGCGTTGTCGTCGATTCTAGCCGCTGTCCATCAATCTCGGACAGCCATATCGAGATCCCGCCGTCTTTGGTATCGGAAACGCCGGTGTGCCTTGCAAAACACGCGTCCGCGCCAACGTCGTCGGCCGTGTTATGCAGTAGGACGCCAGTGGCTGCTTCCCACACAGTCACTCCATCAATATCTCTGCGTCTCAGGACATGGCATCCGCACGTGCTGCAAAAGTATCTTGTCCACCCGTCAACGCCATGAAACGCAGTCGTATCATCCGTTTGATGAGGTTCATGAATGGGGTAGTAAGAGGCGCAGAGAATGCCTGTGGCGTGTCGATCAACGTCGCCATGGTTGATGGACAACTTGAGAGTCTCTCCGTGAGCAACGACAGACTGAACCTGCTGCGAGACGCCGCCGCAAAGGCAGGAGATGTTGAATGTATTGGGTGACATAATGGCTTTCTTTAACGTCAAAGACTTGGAAGTAATTATGCTGCAAGCTGCAGCAGGCGAGTGATTTATATGATGAACGATCTCTACTCCACGACCTTGACATCGTACGTGTAATGAATGGTTCAAGCTTGGATAAGCTGTCAGCAGATTCCCCGCATCAGCTTGCAGCATTTGATAACGGCACGGCCAGCCGGATCCCGATCAACCACCCCGAAAGCGGAGAGTCTTCAAAGTGTCGGCGAATATCGACCCCGCAGTCGCCGGGGGCCTGCGTCGATCTAGGGCGTCTGTAAGGCGTGTTTACAGCCAACCGCGATTTGGGTGCGGAATATCGGGAAGCCTCTTTAGTGAGCCATGCGTTGTCATCTGACTGGTTGATCCTCCGCGGGTCTGATGCGAGATGCGCGGAGTATCGCACGACAGCCATGTTCTCCCAGAATCGTCATCGTTGACAGACTTACTGAGCGGTAATTATCCAGAGACTCCGTACTTGCGCCCGATAACGCCGGCTAAGGGCTGAAAACCTTTGACAACAGCGTCAATAGCCAGGAGGTGGGGTGTTGAGTTCAAGATTGCTCAGTACTCCAAGTCTGTTCGCCGCAGCCTTTGGGGCATGACTGTGGCTCACTCGTGCGACGAGACTGTTCGAATGTGAATTGCACTAGTCGCAGCCAAGAACATCTCCTGATATTTGGTACAGCTTGAAGACTGGGCAAACAAGCCACCTGAAAAGCGTACGGGTTCTTCCATCGCGCACACACGTGAGCCGTCCCATTATGTAGTTACACCATACTGGACTTGAGAGGAACCTGGAGGGAGGTAAAACGATTACCAAACTTGAAGGCTGCAGCAGCATTTAATAGCAATGATAAACTATAATTATACCAAGCTGGTAACTTACAGACTGCCGATTGGCTTGTTGTCCTAGGTCGTCATCTTTCAATGACCTGCGATGCTCTTCAGCGGTCCAGCTTGGACGAAGTAGATTCAGAAACTAGACGGGAAAACCTACGCCCCCCCGGGATCCCTTCTCAGAATAGCGGAATACAATCATTTGAGCGCTTTTGAAAATCTCATCAATACCGCGACTGGAACGATGAGGAACATTAACCAATTGCAGGAAGGGTCGCAAAAGACAGAATCCACCATCGAAGCTGTCCCAATCTTATGAGATTCACGTTCTCATGAAATGTCTACGCATTTCACGTGTCTGCGCCATTGCATGCGTCTGGAAGTTGCCTTGCTAGTCTCATCAATTGGGAAAGGCGTTCATGCGAGTCCATCGTCTTGCCCGCATGACGGGACCTCGAGGGTTGAGCTAAACCATAATGGCGGAACCCAGAGAACCCAGGGATGTACTCAGATAAGAGCCCACTGAGAGAGATATGCTATTGAAAGCGTCAGCAGAGTATTGAAGTCACTTTTATAGCTTCCGGAACCGACTCAAGCCGCCATTTCATGGTTTTCACCGCTCTGGTTGGCCGTGGCGTGATTCTCCGAGTCGAGCCATCACGCTGGTGAGCCGAGCAGGTGGGGTACAAAATCTTCAATAGGCAACTTTTGAAGGCTTGCACCATCGGGTTCACGATGACGTGCTTGTCAGAGTAACACGAAGGATCAAAAGTCGTCTGACATTTGTCTTGATACGTCGGTTTCTGGTGGATGCGTCGTCTCTTATCGGAATTATGTGGATGTCGTCAGTGAAAACTTTTGGTATTTGCACCTTGCGTATGGATTTGCCCAGCCATGAGTAACGAGGCGTTGCTGATGGTGTGCTCTAAACGCTGCTGTGATGCTGCAGATGCAAGTGATAAGAGCAAGCATCTTTCCTTGCAACTTTACTACGGATTACTTCTTGCGGACATTCTTTGTCAAACTTAATGCTGCCTGATCACTGATTGACAAAGACTAGTTGCATTGTCGTCTCGTAACTCGACAGTACAGACTATGGCCGACCACGACATCAAGGGAGTGGCAGAGCCACCTGCTACAGATGATATTTCCAATTCAGACGAGCGCTCCGCATCCGTGGCGTCGAACTCGGCGGCGACGGGAGCAAAGAGCTCGGAGCAAGCT